CAGACTTCTCCAAAGCTTTTGACAGGGTTAATCAGCGTATATTGTTTCAAAAGCTCCATAACTACGGTGTTCGAGGACAGTTCCTTGACTGGATTTAGGAATTTCTTCGACACCGTGCCGTATGGGTTCGAGTTAATGGTTCTGTATCGGGACAGATTTAGGTAGTCCGTGGAGTTCCCCAAGGATCCGTACTCGGTCCGTACCTTTTCCTAGCATTCAAAAACGACCAACCAGCTGTCCCTAAATAAAAGGTATTATTATTCGCTGACGACCCCAAAACTTGGAGAATGGTACAATATCCTGAAGATTATAAAATCTTGCAGAGTATTCTCAACGCAGCTTACCGATGGTCTATCACTAATTACATCAAATTCAACGTTGAGAAATGCCAGGTTGCATCTTGGCATCACAGGGGTCGCTTTCCATGCTTAATTGGAACTCAGCCAATATCGCGTTCTCCAACCGAATAGGACCTGGGAGTTATCGTTCGTGAGGATATATGATGTTCCACACATTGCGCAAGAGCGTCATCAAAGGCCATAAAGCACATTTATTAGATAAAATGTGTTTTTGGATCATTCAGAACAGACCTATTGTCTCGTTTACTATCAGCGTACATTATGCCGCACACCGAGTATGCTATACAGGCTTATAATTCATAGCTGGTTCGCGACCAAAAGGCACTCGAACGTCCACAGAGAACAGCAACCAAAATGGTCGAAGAGTTACAGTCTAATACTTACGGTGAAAGGCTGAAAATTCTCGGACTCTATTCATCCCAATACTGTCGAATACGGGGAGACATGATCCCCATATAACAAATACTACATCAACCTAACCACCCGTGTAGTACTCTACTAACACTATCCAGGAATGGTCACCTCTGAGGAAATCCGTTTAAACTTTTGCTACAAAAGAGTCGGCTAGACTGCAGTCGTCATTCTTTCAGTCTCAGGGTTTGCAATACCTGGAACTCACTTCCACCTCAAATTGTTTGTGCACCAATCATCAATTCATTCAAGTCACAATCGGATGAAGCGTTGAAACACCCAACTTTTCAGCACCTATGAGTGAACGCTATAATTTGCTACTTAATTGTACTACCCACCGAACCCAGTGTGGACAGATCCCAAGGGATTCAATAAGCGTCAGCTTTGTAATAAAAACTCTGTTTTCTGAGTTGTTACAAGAGTATCGAGAGCCTCGAAGTTTTCCCTGTATTCTGAACAAACGTGCTTTTCATGGTTTTGATGTCGAAAATGTTCTCTTCGTTTTTTCATGGAGTGATTTCTGACTGGTTTTCAAAAATCCGATCAATAATATTCTTCCTATTTGTTCCACATCTTTGTATGGTGAGTCGTTCAGCCGTTTTGTTAGACACAATTAGTTCTATCTTTCTTTATTATTTCCGCCGATAGGCAGGTAGTTTGTGGACAACTTCAATTGCGTATCGCATCCGCGATCTTTTTGTGATTACCAAGCATCTTGTTTACGTGACAGAATCGTTCTTATCATCATTAGTTCTCCTGTTTTTCTTTTCTTATAGTGCATGAGGAACCGTTCGCGGGAGCTACAATGGTGTGTGTGCGTTGTGGATAAAATCTTTTGCAGATAGGTGGTTTTTGTGCTGAAAATGTTTTGAGCTCTTCTCAGCATAGCATTCTTTTCTAGATATGTTAATGGTTGCTTCCAAAGTTTTATTATTTGATTCACATACACGTTACTTTGTTGAATTCGTTCATGAAATATTTGCTACTGCTAATCTATTTTCTTTTTTCGTCTCCGTTGTGAATTTGCTATCATTGAACGCGTTCTTTCCGGGTCCGAATTTCTCGAAATCTGCCATCAACGGATTCCGTGAATTGATCGACCATAATTAAAGTATGAATAGTGTTCGAAGCAGAAGAATTTTTAAAACTGCAATTACATACGATAAAAATTGAATTTCCCCCTGACGTACAGACATCCGATAGCCTCCATGCAGAAAACTGTTTTTCACTACAATATTGCATTGTATTGCGATGATTTGTGCAATTCACTCTGGCAAGGGTTTAGTCAAAAATGTGTTGACTAATATTGTGGAATAAGAAATGAAAAATGTCAGACAACAGTTAATAAAACGTAAACAAAATCCTCTTCGTAGATTTGAAATAAATCAGTTTAGGCTGTCCTTCTTGTCAGTTAGAATGCGAGGCATATAGGATACTGAAGAATTACGATACATGTTAATGCGGGAGGATAAGTAGCTATACGTGGAATGGCTTACAGCATGGGAACGATCTGCAAATAGGTTCAGATTGAGCGACTGAGTGAAGTCGTTAAAATTCTTATGGGTAAAATTCTTATACGCAGTCATGTGAAAATCACATTTTTATAATCCACGTGTTTGTGGGAATAAGAGGAACATGGCTAATGTTTACCAAACCGCGGTGAGAAGTAATGAAATCCCTAATAATCATAAGTGAACAGCTAAGTATGACAAAGAAAATGAACTGATAAATAAAAGAACGTGTAGTTGTATGCTTCGCGCTAAATTGTCGTAGCTTGAGTATCAGGAAAAACAAACTATGAAGTCTCGCAGCACCGAGCTTGCACATAGGAAGACCACGGTTGATTGTGATTGCATTTAACATTTCAATTGTAATGAAAGAATATCACCACTGGGTGAACAGGTACAAATGTGCATAAAACCAAATACGCACGGTTATCTGAGTGAAAAATCGAAAAGGATTTATCGTCCTGACAGTTTACACCACTTCAAATAAACGCGCGTCAAACGTGCGAGCTCTATTTGGCTTTGTGAAGACCGAAATCGGTGTGTCAAGTTTTCACATAACCACACTTGGATTCTATTGGCCACATCTACCTCGTGTGCGGAATCCACGACATCCGCGTACAAAAGCACAGATCGGCATACGTGCACACACACGATGACACATGTAGGTGATGGTGATATATTCACGTGACCATATCCTTTCATTTACGACTGCCTAATCCTCAATAATTTTGATTAGCTGATCAAGACTATCTCTGTCTTGATCGATGATGTGAGAAACAGTGGACTAAAAATA